GGTACGTGCCCCTGTGCTCGGCTTAATTCCTTGAATACATAAAATGCTTCTACTCATTCATGCATAGTAGACCTACACTCCCAAAGAAAAATATGGGCAAAGGATATGAAGTCAGTTCACAGAACAGGAAATAAAAACAGCTCTTAAACAAAAGAAAAGCAGAAATAGACTTTACTCATGAAAGTCAATGTTCAATTGCCATTCTCATTAAAAACTCTTATAAAAACCAAGGATAAAAAGATATTTTCAAAACCCATTTATATGGATTTTATTTCAATTTCAATACCATGTCACTTAGTATTAGACATGTGGTTGTATAATGGAGTTCTTCTTTCTTTAGATTATGTGCAGACTACAGAATTAGATTTTCCTTGTTAAAATTTTAAATATTACAGAGATATAGAAGGCAAAAAATGGAAGGTTTTTTCCCATATCTCCTTCCCCAAACCTATCTCAGAGACAACCTCTGTTAGCAGTGAAAAGTGTCACCTTTTAAACCTCTTCCCATAGATTCACATACATGAATGTACATATACAGGGTTTCATTCATATAAATGAGATCATATTATACACATTGCATTGCAAGTCACATTTTTCACTTAATTTGTTTTCATGGTCTTTTACAATAAGTGCATTTGAACCTATTGTGATTTTTGAAATTCTGCATAGTTCATACTACAATTAAATTATTCTCCTATTGAAGGAAAAATTAAAATTGAATTAATTCCACTTCATTTTCTTTGTTTTTTCCCTCCCTCCCTCTCTGCCTTCTTTCCTTTTCTTTTTCTTTTTCTTTCCTTTTTTGCTATTCAAAAATAATGCTAACTGTATGCTTAGAAATGGTTAAGATGGTAAATTTTGTTTTTCTTTACCACAATTTTTTAAATAATCCCACAAAAATGCCTTTAAAAATACTACAGAGAAAACCTCAACATATCTAAGCATGTATGCAAATACTTATGTAGATCAGACATCTAAAAGTGAAATGCTGGCCCAAAAAGAATGTCCATTTAAAATGGAAAGGCTGCCCACTCCCTTTCAAAAACCCTTAATCCACATTCCCACACACAAGGTAAGGATGCCTGTTTTCTCATATGCTCACCAACACTGGATATTATCAATCTCTAAATTAAAACAGAGCAGAACAAGAATTTCTGTCATGATTGTGCACTCTGTGTCTTGGTTCATTTGTGTTGCTATAAAACACACACACACACACACACACACACACACACGAGGCTGGGAAATTCACTGGCTCACAGTTCTGCACGCTGTACAAAAAGCATGGCACCAGTATCTGCTTCTGGTGAGGCCTCAGGCTGCTTCCACTGATGGCAAAAGGTGAAGGGGAACTGCCATGTGCAGAGATCACAAGGCAATAGATTAAAAGCAAGAGACAGAGGGCAGGGGTCAGGTTTTTTGTTCTCAGGGGAACAAATAAAGCCAGAAGTCACTCATTACCTCGAAGATGGCACCAAACCATTCATGAAGGATCTGCCCCCATGATCCAAATACTTCCCATTAGACCCCATCTCCAACATTGGGGATCATGTTTCAACATGAAATGTGGGGGGACAAACATCCAAACCATTGTGTGTCGTCTCATAATGGCTAGGTAATGCAAAACAGACAAACACAAAACAATAAACAAAAAACAGACACTAGAGGTGTATCAGTTAGAAGGATGTCCTCTTTCTTATTTGCATATACCATTACATACATAGTAAAGATCATTTGCCTATTGCAAAATCATATAGCAGAAACTCCAAGATGATTTACTGAAAATTCTTAAATTACCAAAAGAATATACCAAATTGGTCATGCACAAGATAAATGTATAAACGTCAATGGTTTACTTATATGCCATCCATAATCAGGTCGGGGGAAATGCTATTGTTTAAAATTGTTACTAAAATTTAGAAATAACCATAACAAGAAAAAAAAAAGATGTGTAGGATTTATATTGAAAAAAACTCAAAAAAAAAGGTTTTAATAAAAGTAGTATAACAAAAGGACTTGAATAAATGGAGACTCTTCTCATTTTCCTTAATGAGATGACTAAACATTGTAAATACATCAATTTACCCAAGTAATTTATATGCTTAATGTCATGCTAACCCTTCCCCCCAAAAAACTCTCAACAAGTTAAAAAAATTACTTGGGGTATTAAAAAATTATTCTAAAGTTCACTTAGAAAAATAAAGATGGAAAAATAGGAATGAACACTAGGGAAAAATAGATTTACAAATAATATCCAGAAATTGGCTATTAAGAAATAAATGAAATTATGCTTTCTCCTGAATGTCAATAACACAACATCAAATTCCATGTGAATTAAATCATTACAAAAATAAAAGTTTAGAGGAAAAAATAACTTTTATTTAACTAGTTTATGAATGGAAAAGTACTTGTAAGAATGGAAGTGGTGTCAGAAATCACAAAGAGAAAAATCTAGATTTGATTATAGAGGAAAACAAAATGCTGTTTATTAATGAAACATCGTAACAAAATTTAAAAGGCAATACAAGAATGAGAAAAAATATAAGACGGAGGGATAATATCTTTAATAGGCAAAAAGATATGTAAAAACCGAGTAGAAAAGTAGGTGTGTGAATGACAATTCATAGAGGAGGAAATTCAAGAGCCAATAAATGCATAAAACACTTTCACCACTAATGAAAGAAATGCAATAAGTATCCATATATGATACATAATATCATATTATGTATGATATGTATCATATTATGTATCATATGCATAATATCAAAAGATACTGAGCTAGGGCTAGGCTCAGTGGCTCATGCCTGTAATCCTAGCACTTTGGGAGGCCGAGGTAGGCAGATTGTTTGAGGCCCGGAGTTCAAGACCAACATGGCCAACGTGGTGAAACCCCGTCTCTACTGAAAAATACAAAATTAGCCGGGTGTGGTGGCAGGCACCTGTAATACCAGCTACTTGGGAGGCTGAGGCAAGAGAATTGCTTGAATCCAGGAGAAGGAGATTGCAGTGAGCCCAGATCATGCCACTACACTCCAGCCTGGGTAACAGAGTGAGACCCTGTCTCAAAAAAAAAAAAAACCAAAAAAAAAAAAAAAAAAAACTGAACTAGGCACTTGACCTCCAAGATGTCCACTTGACCACTTGGCTCTTTTCCAAGTGTACTTCACTTTCTTTCATTCCTCCTCCTCTAAAGTTTTAATAAACTTTCACCCCTGGTCTAAAACAAACAAACATCTTTCATCTCATTTTTTACTGAGCATTATCTATCAAAGGGACTGGATGTCCCATTTAGTTTGTACTTTAGTTTCTAGCTCATTACATAAGAAATGCAAATAAAAAACACAATGAGATACCACTTCACATCCACTAAGATGGCTATAACATATTTTTTTAAAAAAGGAAAAGGAAAATAGTAAGTACATTCGCATTGCTAGTGGGAATGTAGAATGGTTCCACTGCTGTGGAAAGCAGTTTGTCTGTTCCTTAAAAAGCTAAACATAGAATTACCATATGACCCAGCCGTTCCACTCCTAGACGTATACCCAAGAGAATGCAAAATAGGCACTCAAACAAACACAGGTACACAAACATTCACAGCAGCACTATTCCCAATAGCCAAAAATAGGAAACTACACAACGTCCATCAGAGAATGAGTGGACACATAAATTGTGCTATAAACACCTAGTACAATATTATTTGGCCATAAAAATGAAGTGTTGATACATGCTCTTATGTAAATAAATCTCAGAAACTCGTGCTATGTGAAAGAAGCCAGACACAAAAGGTCTCAAACAATTCAATTTATATGAAATATGAAGAACAGATAAATCCATACAGACAGAAAGCAGATTGGTGGTTGCCAGGGGCTGGAGGAAAGAAGAAATGGAGCGTTATCTGCTTAATGGGATGGGGTTTCCTTTTAGAGGAGAAAAATTTTTTTGGAACTTTAAATAAAGGTGGTGGTTACACAACGTTGTTAACAATACTAAACGGCACTGAACTTCTCACTTTAAAATAGTTAATTTTATGTTATGTAAATTTTACCTCAATAAAAAAATTCTTAAAAAACAATAAACTCAAGTGATATCCAGCCATTAAAAAAATAAGTTACAGGCCAGGTGCGGTGGCTCACGCTTGTAATCCCAGCACTTTGGGAGGCCGAGACGGGCGGATCACGAGGTCAAGAGATCGAGACCATTCTGGCCAACATGGTGAAACCCTGTCTCTACTAAAAACACACAAAAAATTACCCGGGCATGGTGGCGGGCACCTGTAGTCCCAGCTACTCGGGAGGCTGAGGCAGGAGAATGGCCTGAACCTGGGAGGCGGAGCTTGCAGTGAGCCGAGATCCTGCCACTGAACTACAGTCTGGGCGACAGAGCGAGACTCTGTCTCAAAAAATAAAAATAAAAAATAAGTTACACAGCTCACATATAACCCACTTACTTATTACCGCACTATGAGGGGCACCCAAATATGTAAGACAGAGTCCCAACCCTTGGTTGTTGGAGGACTATCTAAGGATACAGAGATTAATAAAAATAAAAGAACTACCAAGAAAGAAGTGCCCGCCATCCTGGCTAACACGGTGAAACTCCGTCTCTACTAAAAATACAAAAAATCAGCCGGGCGTGGTGGCGGCGCCTGTAGTCCCAGCTACTCAGGAGGCTGAGGCAGGAGAATGGGGTGAACCCCGGAGGCAGAGCTTGCAGTGAGCCAAGATCGCACGGCTGCACTCCAGCCTGGGAGACAAAGCGAGACGCCGTCTCAAAAAAAAAAAAAAAAAGTGCCCTCCGAGTGCAAAATTTGTACATCTGGTTGTGGAGAAAGGAAAAACTTCTCAAAGAAGAATTTGAAATGAGCTTTAAGTGTTGAATGGGATTTTTACTGTTAAGACTTAGAGGTAGAGAAATACAGTATCATAAAGAAAGATGTGATCCCTACAAGAGGATTACATCATACCTTGAAAGACATTAAAGAGTCCAACCTGGTCATTGTCAAAGCTATGTAAGTTGGGCACACAATTGAAGACCAGGTGTAAAAGGAGGATAGCTCTGTCCCCTTTGCATCCCCAGTGCCAAATGCAGTGTTTGGTGCGTGGTTGGTTATTGGTAGATGTCAAAAAGAAAAAAAAAGACAGAATATACGTGTGCACTTTAAAACCTTTTTTAAAAGACTAAGCACCAGGAAATCTATAAACTAGTAGCAATATCTAGCAGCATTTATTACCACTGAGGCAGTGGGTTAAGGCATGTATTTGAGGTCTCAGGAAAGCACGGGGTCTCCAGAGTGAATTGCTTGTGGAATTCTAGAAGAACTTTGCTTGCCATCCTATGGGATTTGGGCTGCAATTTTAATACAACAGGGAATCATTATGGTCTATTTTCTCAAGATTCTGATTAAGTAGGATAAATGAGTGATCAGTATGGAAGAGCTGAGTGTAAAGCATCACGAACTTATGCTGGCAAATCATGAGGGCAGACAGGTAAGGAATCTGCCCTCATCTTTGCACTTGGCTTTCTAGGCCCATCCTCTTGGAGCTGTAGTGGGGATCTGGGGACACAGCAAGAGGGAAATGGCTGAGTGCAGAGTAAGTGCACCCTTTATGGAGATGAGAACCTGCCACAGAACAGAAGGCTGTTGGCTCTGTTGTGCCTGATGAAGAAAAGGAAAGGGTGGTCAGCACAGAACCTTGGGCCAGATTCCATGCAGCACTCTGCAATCACAACGCAGCCTGAGGCTGCTGCTGCCTCGGTGCCTTCTTCATTAACCTCCACAAAACTCTTGTGCACGAACTTGGACAGACACAGGTCTCCCTCCGCTGACATTGCCGACAAGTCAGCCTTGCCCTGTTGGAAGGCATCGACCATTCCCAAACGCCGAAGCACAGATTCCATGTCATAATCCTCTTGCAGTTTAAATTTTGGAAGGAGAACTTCAACCTCAGTACTCTTCATACAGTCTGGCTTGGTCCAGGCTGTGAGTTTCTCAAAAGTGAGATTTTTTTCCACCTGAAATACCAGAATTAGACTTTAAGATTCCGACTTCAGTGCACATCTACAAGCACACAGGCACTCACACAGTCCCCTTCCTCCTCTTGCACGTAGATGTTGTTTGTTCACAGAGGATCACTGGCCCCTTCATCTGCCAGAAGCTTGTGAGCGCTCCTACTTGTCCTATGTCCCATGTACCATCGCATGCGCCACTTCCTTGACAAGGGGGAGAGACACCAAGCAGCCAGAGGCAGGAAGGCTGTGGCTGTCCTCTCCTTATCCAGCAACTCCAGAGACATCTTGTATTGTGACAAGCGTCAATGCCCAGGCGACTATGTTTGCTTTTCAAACATAGTCTTTTTAAAGACAACAAACCATTGCTAGTAAAGAAAAGGATTGGAAACGAAAGGGTTCTCAGTGTGAGCCACTCCAACAGGATTATCCGCCCCAGATGAGATTCTGCATACTTTCTGGAGCAGAGCGCTTACAGTCAGGCAGGTGGGCAGAGGCAGAGCCAATGGCTGCTGCGCACACAGACCTCTTAAGTCATGGGGTTCCACTGCCTGCCATTTGCCATGGGTGACTCTCTCACCCCAGGGATCCATGCTGAAAGGAAGCCGAGTGCCTGGATGTGCCATCAGAGGCTGTCTCTGGTCCCACCCTCTGAGCACTGGACTTCACACCTCCCCGGATGCCACGATCCCCCCTCCCAGCCTCGTTAGGTGAAAGTTAAGACTTCCTCATTCTCTATTTCAGGTTCTTAGACTTTCAAAGCATAATGCTAAGAATGATGATTATAATAACGGATCACATTTGTAGAGAGTTTACTATTTGCCAGGCAATGTGGTAAGCTTGTTACCTGAATTACCCACAGTTTATCCTCATCATAACCCTACCGGGCAATAACCCTAAGCTGTCATTTATGCTTTTACAGTTAAAAGTCTGCCATTCATCAAACTAGCAGGATTTTTATAAGTTTCCTCCTACCGGATTTATTTTAAAAGGCATTTTAACCGCCCCCTACCCCTTCTAGCGATGAAAACACAGAGGACTGAGATGTGTATGTAATTTGGCAGATCACGCAGACAATACTGGGAAAAGTCAGCCTTGAACAAAAGTTTGAACCCAACGCCAAGTGCCTGCACAGTGTGCGTCTGCCACATGGCCAACTCGGAAGGTAAATACAAGAGGTGCAAGTGGTGTTCGAGTTGTGCCCGCAAAGGCGTCCCTGGGTTCTTCCCGCCCGGGTCTTACCGTGCTGAGCTCCACGCCGTCGTCAGGCAGCAGCACGAGCAGGCTCAGCTCCTCCCCGGCGTAGGGCAGCTCCAGCAGCTGCGCGCGCACCTCGCCCACGTGGGCGAGCTTAAACGTGGCCTCCTGATACATCATCTGCACTGGCCTTTGCTCCTCCTGGGGGAAGGATTATTAAAAGAGGCAATTAAAAGTTTCAAAAGAGCTGCAGTTGCCTCCGATAGTGTTTTCAGCACCTGTGATGGAAATCGCCACATTCATGCCCCAATTAACACTAAAAGAAAAAAAAAAAGTCAACCAGTTCCTTCCTATCATCACTGCAAGCAGACACAGTACTACCCTGGGAAAGCTTTTTTTCTGCAAAATAAAATGTGATACTCTGCATTTTCCAGAGGAGAAATATTTTTCTCATTTAATTTGTGCTCAGCAAATAGACCTAAGAAAACAATATAATAAAATGAAATTAAATACAAAGTTGTTTTGATTTAATTAGAAAAAAATGTGTGTTGTTTTTCCTATTTATCCAACCCAACATATGAGAAAAAAATCGTAAAGTGGGATCAAACTTATAGTTCCACAACAGCATGACAGGGAGTATAAATGGGTACACTCTCTCAGAAAGAGTGATGACCTACGACCTACGTATATAGTAATCTATTTTAACCCAACCTTTTCAATTATGATACTCTAAGGAAATAACTTTTTTAAAATACAGAAGAGGCATATGCACACAGAAGTTCAGCAAAGTATTACATTTACTAAATTCACTTTTAAAAATTGATACAGGTCATCTATTATAAAAATTAAAATCATTCTAAAACCAAGATTAGAAGAATTCTCCTCCTCCCACCCTTTGCAACTAGAGAACTAATTGTTTTTAAGTTCAAGTACACCTTACAAAAAATGCAGGAGGGTTACCTGCTTTCGTTTTCTAATTGCATTAAAATGGTATCTTTTTAGGGGCTGGAGGATTATGGAAAATTATTCTAAAGCCTGCCTTAATTAAGTTTTACTTCAATGTCAAAACTAAGGTCTTTGTCATGAAGTTTTAATATTAAAAAGCTGGAAATACTGAATTAATGATAGTTAACAATTCAAATCAAAACTTACTTTAATTTTAAAAATAACTAAAGACATATGTTTTCACCTTCTCTCCCTCTACCCTGCCCTATACTGCCCCTCACTCCCACTCCCACATATCACACTACCTTAACACCTTTTTTTTTTTTTTTGCTTTCTAGCCAAGTAAATTGGGCTTAAAGGAAGATCGTTAGTTTCCAAAAATAGGTGGCAGCAATGGTTTATAAGAAATTACCAAAGGTAGTTAAGAGCAGTGATAAAACACTACATATATATTTTATATATTATATATATGCAGCAAATATCTTTTATTCCTTCAGTTTTTTTCTACTGAGTTAAGAAATTCATTCAGAAATACTTTAAGTTTCAAATTCCTTTTGGCTTACACTTATGTCACTTATGATTTTACAAAGTTAAATCTTTCCATTCAACTTCTTCATCAAAGTAGCAGGATGTTAAAAAGCGTCCCCCTACCTGCTTTATTTTAAAAGGCATTTCCCTTGTGTACGTTTCGTCAAACTGTTCATCCCACTTCCCTTTGAAGTAGACGGCATTGACAAGAACCAGTCTGGTTTCTGCATCAATGGAGCTACCCGGCAGCAACTCTTCAATTTTACCTTTCAAGAAAAGTAGAGACTACGTTCAGTTGTTTTTGTAAGAACCTGATGTATTCGATGATCCTGGGTGACTAGTTGAAAGCAAACTTCTGTTTTCAAGTTTGCTGAGTGTGGGCTGTTACGTACAGAAATAAAAACAGCACGTGTGAGTGGCATTCATGATTACCGACACCTTGAGAACATCCACCAAGTTGAGGATGGTGAAAGACACCTAAGTCACTCGAGGAAAGCAGGTTGGTAGAAAGTAGAAAAATTACACCAGGTTGGAGAACAAGACCAGCAGGAAATGTGATAGGCTGAAGGGGTGTTTGTCTCACGTGGTTAAATGGAGTGTTTGACCCAACCCTTCGTGATCACACCCAGTTCTAAACTGGATGGCTCAAAGCGAGAAGAGCTGACATTGGGCACATGGGGAATTTCTAGAAGCTTCTGGAGGAGATCTTCCTGCCGAATCCCCTCAACAAAGCACCAGACATCTCTGGAAAAGAGAATGTGGGCAAGCAAAGATCACCCCTTCTTTCCCTGGAGATCAAGTGGTACTTTTTCGATGAACTGAGAGCATCCCTGCTAATTCGCTGCCTCAAGAGAGCATCCGTGGCAAATACTCCAAGCAGGAATGGGGGAACAATTGCTGAGACTTTAAGCGAAGAACATCTCCCAGTCTTTACCGTCTCATTTATTCACAGAAATAGAAATGTTCCTAGTGGTACTAAGCATCATTGGTGCAGAGGAGTCTGCATCGTTCATCAGACCGTCATTGGTCTTGGAGGCCAAGACTGGAACACGTCACTTTCTGAAATGTGGATGAATAAGGTTCAACCCCAAATGGAGGATATTTTCAGTCTGTGGAACTGATCAGCCCTGAGACAGGGTCTGCAGTTAACCAATCAAATGTAGGCTTAGCAAGACAAACTAAAGGAGCTTAAGTGGAAGACATGAAAAATCAGAAGTGACCTTAGCAGGTAAAGGTGATGGTGATGGAGGTCCCCCAGAACCTAGGAAGAGGCAGCCCAAGTGTATACCTCAGGCAACATCTGTCCGTCAATCTCCTTCTCACAGAGACAATGGAGCCACCTGACATGTGAATGTTACAGGCCAGGGAGAGTATATTTTAATGTAAGTTATTAAACTGGAAATCTGGCCTGAGATTCTTTTGACATTTGTTTTTTGTTTGTTTTTTGTTTTTGAGACAGGCTGGAGCACAGCGGCGTGATCTCAGCTCACTACAACTTCTGCCTCCCAGATTCAAGTGATTCTCATGTCTCAGCCTCCCAAGTAGCTGGGATTATAGGCATGGGCCACCACGCCTGGCTAATTTTTGTATTTTTGGTAGAGATGGGGGGAGTCTCACCATGTTGGCCAGGCTGGTCTCGAACTCCTGACCTGAAGTGATATTCCCACCTTGGCCTCCTAAATTGCTGGGATTAGAGGTGAGAGCCACCATCCCTGGCCCTCTTTTGACATTTGTATCAGCTACTCTAGTCCTGGGAGAATACACAAAAGTAAATCTCTGTTGTTGAAAACCTGAATGTCTGATCAGATCCTTTACAAGTCCATCAAGGTTCAGTATGCCAGGAGGCCCTGCCAGTCAACACTACTCTGACCATCTGAAACACCCATGAAATTAGAGGGGCCGGAGTGGAGAGGTGGAGGTGGGTGAGGAGAGAGAGAAGGAGGGATAGGAGGGAGAGAGGGAGGAGGGAGGATGTAAGAGGAGGGAAGGAGGAATAGGAAGAGCTGCAGGAGGAGGGGTTGGGAGGAGGGTGGAATAACTTGTCATTCTGACCTTCCGTCTTCTTTGAGACCCAAGTGTTGATGTGTTCCCTGGACTCCTCTGCAGCTTTGATAAAGGAAAGCTCCTTCAGCTCAGCATGGTAGAATTGAAGACAGGATTCCTTAAACGTCTTTGGAGAGAAAAACGTTCAGTGAGGCTACATTGCTAAATACAAATGTCAACAAACTTCCAAAAATTCTAAATATGTTATCTTTTTTTAATAAAAAGAATACACAGAACTCTTTAAAAGTGATCGTATTAAGATATGTTAAAATATCAGAGTTTGTGAATAGGTATGCATTGGACCCTGAATAACCAGAAATGAACTTGAGAATTTTACCTCTCAATTTTACCTTTCAAGAAAAGTAGAGACTACTTTTGGAATACTAATGCAAGGTATAATTATAGAATTGTGGTCTTTAAAGAAAAGAAGTTTAGGTTGGGCATGGTGGCTCACATCTGCAATCCCAACAGGCAAGAGGATCACTTGAGACCAGGAGTTTGAGACCAGCCTGGGCAACATAGTGAGACCCCATCTTAGAAAAAAAAAAAAGTACAATTTTTTTAATTGGTTAATGTAAGTTTCTCAGTTTCTCTAGGGTCTTTCTTCCAGACTCTATATCACCAGATATGTTGAATACAACTTTTATTGTTCTATTGATTCAACTTACTGAGAGAAATTGACACGTTTTCTCTCCAAAGAGCCTGTTGGCTGTTCTCAGCAGATACTGTGTGCCAGGCTTGTTCACTTCAGCGAGAAGCGACTGGAAACCCCGATGAATGTCTTCCTCTGTGTTTAAAGAAAGTGCCTGTTGTGAGAAATAATTTCAAAGTTATCAAGATAGCTCTTTGGTGGATGGGGAAAGGAGAGAGAGGGGACAGAAAACAGGCGAGTAAAAGATGTGGCCATCCTGCCTGAATGGATCTCACTCGTTTAAAGGTGAGTAACAGGAAAAAAATGACAAGGGTGAGAAAAGCTCATAAAAGACGTTGTGATAAAATCTGGCATCCAAAGGAAAATATAAATGTGCCCTAAGTGGTGGGAAAATTACCTCTAAAATTTATAGAAAAACAAAAAAGATGCAGTTAAAAAGTTAAAAGCAGAAAAAATGCAAGGAAAAATAGACAGAAATACAACCATCAGAATCCTCAAAAGGAAATAAGGATATTAAATGAGCAATGTGATTAATAAGACAATAACACAGTTATTAAAATTGTACCCTATAGGGACTATATGTGTGTGTGTTACTTAAATATTTCAAAAAATATAACACATATTGGACCATAAGAAAAGTCTCAAAGTCTCAATACATTCTGAAATACAGAAATTATATAGATTATATCCTTTAACTTCAATGTAGTAACAAAAAATCAACATTATAAACAAAATGCCAACAAAATGAAAATGACATACAAAATATTACTGAAAACACTTTTCTAAATAATTAACTCTTCAAAGTAACAATTACAATACTCTTCCAGGCCAGGCACAATGGCTCATGCCTGTAATCCCAGCACTTTGGGAGCCTAAAGCAGGAGGATTGTTTGAGTCCAAGAGTTTGAGGCTAGTCTGGGCAACATTGCAAGATCCCATCTCCAATTAGCTGGGCATGATGGTGTGTGCCTGTGGTCCCAGCTACTTGGAAGGCTGAGGTGGGAGGACTGCTGGAGCCCAGGACTTTGAGGCTGCAGTGAGCTGTGATCAAGTTGCCACACTCCAGCCTAGGAGACAGAGCAAGACCATGTCAAAAAAAAAAAAAATCCCTCTTCTAAACAATTATTTAAAATATTCTTCTAGGCTGGGCACAGTGGCTCATGCTTGTAATCCCAGCACTTTGGGAGGCCAAGGGAGGCAGATCACTTGAGGTCAGGAGTTCAAGACCAGCCTTGCCAACATGGCGAAACCCTGTCTCTACTAAAAATAGAAAAATTAGCCAAGTGTGGTGATGCTTGCCTGAAATCCCAGCTACTTGGGAGGCTGAGGCAGGAGAATCACTTGAACCCAGGAGGCGGAGGTTGCAGTGAGCTGAGATCACACTATTGCACTCCAGCCTGGGCAAGAGAGCAAGACTCTTCCTCAAAAACAAACAAACAAACAAAAAATATTCCTCTAAATAAGTATACGACAAATAATTTAGAAAATAATCAAAATATGGGTGATATACATTAGACCAAAGAGTTCGGCCAAAGATAAGTTAAAACATAGCATTGTTTTCAATATTACCAAGAAAGTAATAAAATGCTAAAACTTTACATCATTATGTTAGAGAAAATACAGAAAAACTCCTAAGGAGTTTTGGAACAAGCACAAAATGATCAATGAATCCAAGAACTGGTTCTTTAAAAGAAAACACACATACATACATAACAGACAACCACCCACCACATATTTAAAAAAGCACTCCAAAGGAAAGTTGTATGTGAAAAAGAGGTTACAGCAATATAAACAGAGGGAATGTTAAAACAAAAACGCTATATAATTATTTTCAATAAAGTACAGATTATAAGTTACCAAATGCCAGTCAAAAATATGAATATTAGCCAGGCATTGTGACATGTGCCTGTAATCCCAGCTACTTGGGAGGCTGAGGCAGGAAAATCACTTGAACTTGAACTCGGGAATTGGAGGTTGCAGTGAGCTGAGATAGCACCACTGCACTCCAGCCTGGGTGACAGAGCGAGACTCCATCTCAAAAAAAAAAAAACAACCCACAGAATCTATCAATCAGTCACAATGCACAATGAATGAACAAAAAAAAGAGAGAGAGAGAGAGAGAATTACTTCTAAAAAGGCTTAGATGATCTTTTGAGGGATGTTTTTTCTAATATTCAAGCAATTTCTATTTCTCATGCAATACACACTGTTCTATAACATAGAAAAAAGAGGAAGCTGCTAAATTTATTTTAGACAGCTCATAGACTATTGATAAGAAACCCTGTTAAAAATAGAACAAAACCAAAAGCTAAGACCAATTTCACCCAAGGCTGTGACACCACTATTACTATTCATAGCCAATACATGTTGAGCACTTGCTTTACATGGACTGTCTCACCGAATCCTCAGATGAGCTGAAAAACACAGTTATAAAAGTAAAGATACCATATAATCACCAAAGTACAAAATGTCAAGTGAAAATGGGGAAATAGAACCGGGCGCGGTGGCTGACGCCTGTAATCTCAGCACGTTGGGAGGCCGAGGCGGACGGATCACGAGGTCAGGAGATCGAGACCATCCTGGCTAACACGGTGAAACCCCGTCTCTAAAAATAAAAATTACCCTGGTGAGGTGGCGGGCGCCTGTAGTCCCAGCTCCTCGGGAGGCTGAGGCAGGAGAATGGTGTGAACCCAGGAGGCGGAGCTTGCAGTGAGCAGAGATCACGCCACTGCACTCCAGCCTGGGCAACAGAGTGAGACTCTGTCTAAAAAAAAAAAAGAAAGAAAGAAAGAAAAAGAAAATGGGGAAATAAGACTGGAGGAAGATGCTTTACATTGTCAAGTGTGGTTGTCTCTGCGTGATGGATCCATAAGGATTTTTTTTCCTCCCTTCTACTTTTATTTTTTTTTAAAATTTTATAGTGGACTTTTACCAGTTATATAATGAAGGAAAAATAAATAAGTCTTTAAAATATTTCTGCTGCCATTAATGCTTCCCTTCATGTTACAGGTAGCAATGTGTACTCAGTATGTCTGGTGTCTCACGAGTATCCAGGTGAACACTGGAGCCATGGAGAGCTCCGTGTCACACCTAAGAAGGTACCCAAACAATTTTGGTGCTCTCAAAAGAGCTTTCTATAAGGGTTTATCAGTGAGTCTAAAATATAGAAAAAGATTATAAAGATTTAAGCATAAGAAACTTCAGAACCAAAATGGAGTCACTAATGTTAAAAACAAAAACAAAAACTAAAACTAAAAGACAGAGACGGCGAAGGCCATGAAGAGAGGGTTCTCACGCTTGAATGCCTGATAACAAAACTATTGCAAAGGACTCCGTAAAAAACTACACTCTTGCACAAAGGCCATCACAGCCTTACGCAACAAAATACTTGCACAAGGATGTCTACCCAGGAACTCCCCATCCAACCTCACACTGGCATCACCGTCGTTATTGATCTTTTTGCCAAAAATAACTATTTCAAAGGGATTATGTAATCCTTTTTACTTTTTCCTTTAAAAATCTTAGTGTTATATTTCACCTCCCTGAATACGCACATAGCTTGCTATGGCGTGCGTATTTTCATTGTAATGCCCTTTTTCCAAATGTATATATTTTAGAGAGCCTCTCTGTGCTTATTATTAAGGCTGGTAGCCTTTATACATAAACCTTCCCTCCTTCACACAGTGAGCTGGGAAATTATTAAAATGAGTAATTCACTACTGAAAAGTGTCATCAAAGGAAAAAAAAAGAGTCATATTGAACAAAGGACAACTGCCATGATGAAGGCGTGTAAAGGGGCCTGCGGTCAGGGATGATGCAAGCTTTCAGTTTCATCTCAGGTGTATGTCCCCTCTCCTTTCCACAAACGTCTGGGGACAAGCACTGATCTTGAATCATTTTCAGAGGTTCTCTGAGCGTTGGTGAGACTAAGCTGAGCAGTACCTGCACGGTGTGCAGCGGTAACTAAGCACTTGCCCTGGAATCCTTCTGGAAAATTTCTGTCGATGCCCTCCCTGAGCTGTTGGTACAGAAACAATTTGAAACAGGTATTAACCCTCCTTACCAATGAAAGTTTATAGTTACAGTCTCTTGCTGCAAAAAAGAGGTAGGTCTTTGCAACTTATGTTTCAAAAAATTTCAGTATCATTTTCTTTTTTTTGTTGTTGTTGTTGTTTTTTTTTGAGACGGAGTCTCGCTCTGTCGCCCAGGCTGCAGTGCAGTGACCCGATCGCAGCTCACTGCAAGCTCCGCCTCCCGGGTTTACGCCATTCTCCTGCCTCAGCCTCCCGAGTAGCTGGGACTACAGGCGCCCGCCACCTCGCCCCGCTAGTTTTTCGTATTTTCAGTAGAGACGGGGTTTCACCGTGTTAGCCAGGATGGTCTCGATCTCCTGACCTCGTGATCCGCCCGTCTCGGCCTCCCAAAGTGCTGGGATTACAGGCTTGAGCCACCGCGCCCGGCCTTTTCTAAACAAAGATTCCGCGCTAGGACAAGACAGCTTGGATGGTCTTTTCCAAGGGATTAACGGAGGAAAGTTTCCCCCAAATAAATCTCGGTGGAGCAGAGTTCCTGCCTCCCTGCCCTGCCCCCCTTCTTCCCCAGTGGACCCCCGCCTCCCTGAAATGGCCAGTGCATACTGGGGCCCCAGTCCTGCCCTCCTTTCTCAGTGGCTGTGGAGTATGAGTGTGATGCTGGTGACAGAACACGCAGCCCAGGCCAGTCCCTGCTCCTGGGGCACAGGCAAGCTTACCTGGGCCATCTGGGTTGCGGTGTTTCCCTTTGCCCCTAGGAGAACCATGGCCAGGGCAGAGGAGATGCTCACAGGAGAACAAAACACGTTGCGCGTAGGGTTGTCTTGACATAGTATCTTTAAAAGGCGTATGGCAAAGGTACCACTTGCATTAGAAAGAGTTTCCATGATGCAGGGCCTGGAAGTGAAGAATAAAGAGAAATGCAGTTTTGACACTCCCTGAATGTTACTGACCTACTTACTACAGGGCAATTTTGGAATCGTACTTTTTGTTTTCTTCTCAAAGTTCATAAGTATTTCAAGTTGGAGAAAAATTTATTTTCTGTTAGTCTCCAGCCAAAAACTAAGGGAGGAGGAGGAAAATGCTGTTCTTATTCTTGCATGCATTTACAAAGAGTCCTTGTGAGATTTTCAACTGGGCACCAGCAAATATTAAGGTAATTAGCTAAGTGTGGTGATGGCAGCAGCTCAAACCAACAATAGCAACAGAACTGGCTCGCCTGCAGAGCTCTGTCTGTCTCTCTCTCTCTCTCCTTCTCGCTCTCTCTCTCTCACACACACAAACACACACACAGAGAGAGAGAGAGAGAGAGAGCTGGGAGCAGTGAACTCCAATTCTTTCCGTAAGGACCTGATTGTCCCATCTGAGGAAGAGAATGGGCTCAGGAAGGAGGAGGAAAATGCTTTTCTTATTCTTGTATGCATTTACAAAGAGTCCTTGTGAGATTTTCAACTGGGCACCAGCCTGTGGCCTCCCTGTCATTCAGCTGATACACAACAGACACTGAGATGCTGAACCTGACCCAGAGACAGACAGCTGTGAGGCAAGGAACTGTCATCCACAGAGGCAAGTGAGTGTGTCCTGGACAGCTGGGATGGAACCAGTCTGCTCCCAGTCAGCCGGCCTGCCCCAGGCCCACACGGCCTGACATCCCAGTAACTCCATTCAGAGCTCCTGCCCATCACTAGCTCCTGGACATCATGTGACCCTTGAACACTGAAAGTGGGACTTAGACAATTGTGTGTTGTTTTGGCTTCGTTTTGTTTTGTTTTTAATGTGCTTGCTAACTCAGAAACATCTATTTGGGAGCTTTACTCATTACTCCCAGCAAAAGCCATGAGTGTAGATGGTGCATGAGAGGAAGGAACTGGTCCTTGCAGAACACCAGAATGGAAAAGGCAAGAAACAGCCCAAGGTGAGGAAGGAAAACCAGCGAGAACAAAGAGCTAGTACTACCTCTGAAGCTAGTGGAAGCCAAAGTGTGAATGTGAGGGGGTGGGTCTCTTCGCCACAGGTCTGAAACCAAATGAACCCCCACCCCCAGGCTGCAGTTCCCAGTGCCCTTGGAAATGAGACCCTCACTCCTCCAGGTGAGCCTGGGAGACCTCCCTGACCCCTTTCCATCCCCCTCGTCCCCCACACCCATCCCCAAGGCCTGCCCTCTACGCCCACATTTCGCCCACATTTCTTTCCACTTCGGATCCTGTGCCTGGCCTAATGCGCAGGCCCCCTCCCGAGCCTCTGGTCACCTTAGAGCCACTCCCCACTGTCGGGACACCTCATGTGTGCTCCCCAAAGCGCCACGCAAAGCACTGGAGAGCCTTGGACAATGAACACAAGCCGCTGCCCTCAGCCACCACCATGCCACAGCCACACAACATCCTCAGAAAGCGGTGTCTTAATCCTCTTGTCCTTCCTCCTAAATCTCCCGGGACCCTTAGGATCCGCTCAAAGCCACCTCGTTAAAACGTTTCTTCGGCCGGGCGCGGTGGCTCAAGCCTGTAAAATGGTGGTGCCCGCCTGTGGTCCCAGCTACTCGGGAGGCTGAGGCAGGAGAATGGCGTGAACCCGGGAGGCGGAGCTTGCAGTGAGCCGAGATCCGGCCACTGCACTCCAGCCCGGGCGACAGAGCCAGACTCCGTCTCAAAAAAAAAAAAAAAAAAAAAAGAACGGTTTCTTCTCCACCTGCCCCCTCCCTTGATCCAGCCTCGCTCAGGTCACAGCCTCCACCTCTGGCCATCCTGAACCCCTCCCAAAGTCACCTCTTCGCAAACTCCTGGTCCCCCTTAGAAGGCCCCATGCCCATCACGGGATTAATTCTACTCACCCTCAAACACCGCGGCCTGGAGGCTTGATTCCCACCCTAAAGGAGGTTCCCTTGACCCCGCGGGCGCAACCCTCCCCAGCACGACCCTTCGTCCCGAAGGTGACTCCTCATCTTGCTGGCGGTCCCCACAGACCGCAGGCCCTGCAGGCGACGGCTGAGCCTGGCTCCGCGGATTCACAGTCCCTGGAGGAGTAATCCGAAGAAGGACGGGCCCCATCCGTTTCTCTGAATTATTGAAAGAATTAGGATGGATAAGAGTGCTCGGATTTGAAACTCGAGACTGGTGGCTTTATTTTTTTGTTGTTGGTGGTGGTGGTGGGGTTTTTTGTGTTTTGGGGGGATTTTTTTGTTTAGTTTTGTTTTGAGAGGAAGTCTTGCTCTGTATGCCGCCCGGTTGGAGTGCAGTGGCGCAATCCCAGCGCACTGCAACCTCCGCCTCCGAGTTCAAGTGATTTTCCTGCCTCAGTACGTAGCTGACATTATTACAGGCGTGCGCCAACATGCCCGGCTAATTTTTGCATTTTCAGTAGAGACCGGTTTTCACCACGTTTGTCAGGCTGGTCTCGAACTCCTGATCTTAAAGGATCCGCCCGCCTCGGCTTCCCAAAGTGCTGGGATTACCGGCGTGAGCCACCGCGCCCGGCCGAGACTGGTGACTTTAAAGGACAGAGAAGAAGCAGGACAGACGTCATCCTGCGGCTCCCAGAACAGAGAGGAGCAGTGAGAAAACAGGGCCGGCAGGTGGGGAGGAGGCTGCAAAGCAGGACTTCCGCCCGGGAAGGGCAGCGAGGAGACCTCGGAGAGGGAATGGCCCGCGCTGGCTGTGGGCCGCCAAGGCGGAGGCCGGCTGCGCGCTCCAGGGCACCCCCGGAGACCGTTGCTGACCCCACCGAGAAGGCACCGCCTCTCCGGGGCTCTTGGCTGCGCGACCGCTCCTGCCCTCCGGTCCCACCTCTCCGTGGCAGCCGGGTCTTGAAGCTCGCCACTCCCGTGCTCCACCCCGGCCCCGCGCGGGGACGCCCGCACCTACCACCTGGTCCAGCGCCGCCGCCGTTTCCGTGCCGCGCTCCGAGCCTGGACGCCGATCCCGGAGGCGCAGGACCCGGCCCTGCTGCTGCGCTCGCCGCGGACTCCCACTAGGGGCCTCTGCGGGCACCGCTTTTATACCGCAGGGTCGGGCGCCTCCCACGCTTTCTGCCTTCAGGCGGAGCCTGGCGGGACCAGTGGGGGCGGAGCGCGTGGTGGCCGAGGTCAGGGCTCGGGGAAGGGGCAGGCCAGGGTCCCCCAGCCCTCCCGGCCCAGGGCGAGGGCCGCGAATGCTCCCGCCAGTCTGAGGCCGGCCAGGTCCCCAAGGCGCGCGCCCGGCCTCGGCCACTGGCAGCTCCAGGGCCGCTTCGGGATCGGGTTCTGAACCCAGAGAAGTTCTGACCCAGAGAAGTGGGTGGGAGCCTGCGGGGCCCAGGGCCTCCGCGCCAAGAAACAAGGGGTCTGCGGGAAAAGAGACAGCCTGGAACCCTGGGCTTTTCTACCTCAGGAAGCGAAGTCGGGTGACAGCCAAGCTCCATGTCCCAGTGGGAAGGCCCCATGGGTCTGTGTTCCACGCCTCCTGTCATGAATATGAGGGATTCACTTAGAACCAAAGCATTAGTTCCAGGTCCCACCACTAACTAGTACCATTAGTTCCAGGTCCCACCACTAACTAGTACCATTTGTTCCAGGTCCCACCACTAACTAGTACCATTTGTTCCAGGTCCCACCACTAACTAGTACCATTTGTTCCAGGTCCCACCACTAACTAGTACCGGTCCCGGGCCCAGAACCAGGCTCCTCACTCCTGGCGCCCGAGCCCCTCTCCAGCCACAGGTGCTTGGGCTGCGGTGCGGTGTAAGCAGCCCCATTTTCCCGCGAAGTGATGGGAAGAGACACTGAGTCACATGGGCTCCGGACACTCCTTGTGTCCTCTCTCGGGGGTCCAGAGGCAGGGACTCGGGGGAGTTGATGCAGCAGTTCGTAATGTCATCAGATATCCCGCCACCCCGCTCCATCCTAGGTTGGACGCAATTGGAAGCATTTCATGTTGGCACGGTGATGTCCAGAGGAAGAGAACGGACCAAATGCCTCTCTCTGGAGCACGGAGTGTCTCCCAGAAGCCGTGTCCTTCTGTTTCGAATTGACCAGAATTAGGGCTTTCTCCTGAGGGCCTGAATTAGGGAGAGGCAAGGCAGGTGCCTAAGGCACAACATTTCAGGAGGGCCACACTCATAGGTGCCAACCCTACATTTGCATGGCCCTGAGAATCAGAGCCTCCTTCAATTTTATACCCTAGGTGCCTAGCTTGTTTTTTAAAATAAGACCTTTATTAAAAGACAATTCACGGACCATAATATTCGTCCTTTTAAAGCATACAATTCAATAGTTCTTGGTATGTTGGCAAAGCTGTCCAGCTCTCACCACTGCCTAACTCCAGAAGGTTTTCATCCCCCTAAGAGGAACTGTGATACCCATTAGCAATTATTCTCCATTTCCTCCTCCTCACAACCCCTGGCTTCTGGGAGACGCTCTGTACTCCACAGATTTATTTTCTGGCCCTGTGGATTGACCGACTGTGGAGATTGCATGCAAATTGAATCATACAATATGTGGTCTTTCGTGACTGCCCTTCTTTCACTTAGCAGAATGTTTTCAAGGGTCATTCTTGATGGTTCCAGGTAGCATTTATCAGTACTTTATTTATTTTCATAACTGAAAAATACTTATAAAAATATTATAAAATCAAAAGGGAAATTAGAATGTATTTTGAAATTAATAAAAAATGAAAGTAAAAATATCAAAATTTGTAGGATGTTATTAAATCAGTACTTTGGGGAAACTTTACAGCATGAAATGCCTCTATTAGGAGAGGAGAAAGGCTTCAAATCAATGACCTCAGTTTCTGCCTTCAAAAACTAGAAACAGTATAAATACATTAAACACAAAATCAGTAGAAAAGAAAAAATAATAAAGATTGAAGAATAAGTCAATGAGATAGAATTTATAACGATAGAGAAAACTGATTAAACAAGAAGCTGTTATTTATTTATTCATGTACTTTTTTTTTTTTTTTTGAGATGGAGTCTTGCTCTATTGCCTAGTCTGGAGAGCAGTGGCGTGATCTTGGCTCGCTGCAACCTCTACCTCCCAGTTCCAGTGATTCTCCTGCCTCAGCCTCCCAAGTAGCTGGAACTATAGGCATGCGCCACCATAACCGGCTAATTTTTATATTTTTAGTACAGACAGGGTTTCACCGTGTTGGCCAGGCTGGTCACGAACTCCCGACCTCAGGTGATCCTCCCGCCTCAGCCTCCCAAAGTGCTGGGATTATAGGCGTGAACCACTGCGCAAACATGTTAGCTGCCTCCGTGCTCCAAGGCCAGAGGAAAAGTCCTTTCAATCCAAATCATATGACCAACCATGGAAAATGGGTTTAGCAAAGGATAAAAAAAACAGAACTATGAAAACAAAAGTTATTTTAGTTTTTCCTTTCCTTTCTCCTGTTTCCCCAACAAAAGGTTATACAGGGGGCATGAAATCTGTTCAGAAATAGCTAAGAATCAAGAGATTTTGCAATTATGTATATTTTTCATTTAAAATCTCTTCTACTTTATTACTTGAAGAAAGTCACAACATATCACAAAAATATTTCTTTACCTGATCGCTTTTAACGGTTTTCCCAGATGGAAGATACACAGGGCCCCAGAGGAAGCATTTTTCCAGGATTTTCCAACACTGTCCAGAAGAAGGGAGTCTTTGATCCTCACACCAGGTCCAAGGATTTTTCAAAAATCACTACTTCATGATCAGACAAGCACTAGAGAAATAACAGAATCCTGTTGCTGGCCTGAAAACCTGGCAAACATGTGTAAGCAGACCTCCATCACTGGGCCGCAGCAGGACACAGGGAGGACCCGCCCAGCGGCAACTTCCTTCCTAACTCCAAATTCACTGCAAATAAAGTCCCTCACCACCAATGACCCAGCCGTTGTGCGTCTCCAGACTCTTCTGTATCTTTAGCAAAGGCCACGTTTTCCAGCTCTGCCTGTGGGCGTCTGACACACTTCCTTAAAGGCCTGGAGACAGCAGGATATGGAGTGTGGCCCTGTTCACTCTGCAAAGGTTTCCACAACCTTGAAAACATTTTCCTGCCTCCAACATGTTCCTACCATACATGTGACACGGTCAGGCTCCATTCTAAGACTTACGCATTCAGTTAACAAAAAATAATTGGCTGCCTGCCCTGCGCTTGGCTTGGCACTTGCTGAGTACTTGGTACCAAGTTGAAGAGACAGTATCTGGCCCAAGGGCGCTGCAGTCTGAGGGAGAGATGGCGAGCACACCGAGGTACTTCCAAGGTGCCCTGAATACCCCCAGAACGCCCCAGCCCAACACTTAAGCTCCATAGGGACTTTCTGTTAAATGTCCTGTCTCCCACACTGGACTGTGAGCCTCAGGACAGCCTAACCCTCCTTTACCAATTTTTATATTAGCACACTGTACATTTGGCCTCTGGTACCTGCAGGTTCCGCATCCACAGATTCAACCAACTGCAGATGGAAAATATTTGGAAAAAAAGTAAAAAAAACCACATCAATAAAAAATAATACAAATTTTAAAACAATACAGTATAATGGCTATTTGTACAGCATTTACACTGTATTAGGTATTATACATAATCTAGAGATGATTTCAAGCATATGGGAGGATGTTACACAGGTTACATTTGCATAGGTTATATGCAAACACTACACCATGTTATATTAGAGACCTGAGAATCCGCAGAGCTCAGTGTTCACTAGGATCCTGGAATCAATCAGATACCAAGAGACAACTATATTTGTTGAAGCCCATTTGTTGAATGATTGAGAGGCTTCATACTGGGATTAGATGATCAAGAAATAGAGATCTACAAGCGGGCAAACAGGGAAACGGCATCATCGAGGTGGCTTGAGAGAACAGGGATCAAGGAAGGTCTCTGAAGATGGACTTGGAAGGGTCTAGAGGGTGTGTGTGTGTTTATGTGCTCGAGTACGTGTGTCGGGAGGGGGATAAGAAGAACACAGCAGCAGGAGAGGAGCCCTGAAATGTATGTTGAGGTCAAATCGAAAAGGCCTGTATGCAATACTTTGAAGCCCAGAGCCGACTCCCTTCTGTGCTCCCCTGGTTTCAGCTATAATGGGCTTGGCACGAGGCTCCCATCCTCTGCCCAGATTCCTGTTCTCAAACAATCTTGCTTCTACAGAAGAGGATGTGGATGGGAGAAGGGGCTAGGCAACGAGAAAGGTGGCAGGTGGCCCCCTGTGTCCCCAGTATTCTCCAATTACAATAGTCAGAGATCAGGCCAATGTTCAAAAATGATTCCTGGGATCACTGGTGCTTATCCAGCCAAAGGGCCCAGAATCTGCCCCGGTGGGATTTAAGCCCAGAGCAGGCAACCTCCACAGGACAGTCCCCGGCAGCAGCGATCACAGGGATGTATTTGGATCTTACACAAGAACCCTTGGAATCCAGCCAGTCAGGTGGCCAGGATTACCCCAGGCAGCTCACGGATCTCAAATAACATCATCCTGCATGCTACGTGGTAGAATGTGTTTGAACCTCATGTATTGCGTTATGGAAGGGTTTTTTCTGGACTGTAAGTACATGTTTAAGTAAATAGAAGCTACTCAAATTTAAAGCCTCAGTTTAATGAACAGATTTTTTATTTACAAAAACTATTCTGTCAGTAATGGGGGTTTATGAGATAAGGGGAGGTTTCAGGCTGGGCTTGGAGAGAGTGGTTAAGAGGCAGTTAAGATGGTAGTGTTGAAGCTGAAGGGGGATTGTGAACCCAGGCAGTAGCAGAGATGACTCAGAAAGGGGGCAAATGTAAGAGGCCTTGAGAGGAAACCAGTCCAGCGCCCAGAGGTGAGATGGGGGAGGAGGCCCGGATGGCTGAGCCTTGTGCTGCATGCTGGAAGACAGGGTTTAAGGAAGAGAAGCAGATTTGGGTGCAGGAGAATGGACTTATTGAAATTGACATTGGAAGAGAGTTATCAAAAAATAGGAGAGATGTAATTTAGAAGCAATATTAAAGATCAAAATTAGACCAGGCGCAGTGGCTCACGCCT